CCAATACTACTGTTGCATTTCCTTTGTCTGACTTTGTGATAACTATATCCTTGTTATTTTAAGGTGTTTCAGGGCTTCTATCTCTGGTTTTGTTATGCTAGGCTTTCCACATTTTTGTCGTTTTAATGTAAGTTTACATTGTGCCCGTACTTCGTCCGCCATTGTTTTGTCCATCTCACTAAGTGCCATTTCTATTTTAGGGATGACATCCTCAGGTTTCAGCTTGTCTACTGCTGCATTGAAATTTAGTCCCTTTTCTAATACACTTATTTCTGTAGGACTTAATATATGTGTTGAGAGATTGATAACCTACTTTGTTTTATCGATCGCCGTTGACTTTGGATTGTTGACTTTATCGTTTATTAATTTATAATAATTTATTATTATTATTTATTATTATTATTGCTCCCTTGGGTTCCTAGTGGAACATAGGGCTTCAACTGCACGTCTCCATCTTGCCATTTCTGTCTTCTGCTGTACTTTTCACTTGCATTCATCTTAGTCCATACTCTTTCAACTCCTCCTTCTATTCACACGATCTCCTCCATGTCGTTCTTGCACTGACACCCCACTCGCCGCTTCCCTTTCGGCTTGGTTCCACTCGAGCAATCGCATCACGCGCGCGCGATGTCACCAAGCGGTCTCCTCAGCGAGTGTCCAATCCATCTCTTCACTTTCTCCCGCATATTTGTTGGACGACTGGTTCTTGTTTTGTTTGTTTGTGCCCATAGTTTCCAATAGTTGGTGATTCTTTCCGGAACATCCATCTGATCTTCAGTATAGAACCAGCGAAGACAGTTGTTGGTTGATAAAGGTCTGAAATAGCCCGTTAAGACTATTCTTTGTGACCCACCCGCCAAGTTTCTGATCCGTATAGAAGAAGTGACTGACTTGACGTTTGTATTAAAAATCCGACTGAATTTTGTTGTTGATGGTGGCTGGCTGAGTGATGAAGATTTCCAGATTGGTTTCAGATTGATGAATGTGTGTGTTTCTTGCCCACCTTTCCGATTCTCGCTCGATTTGACATCCTCGTCTGTTCCGAAATCCTGTAGTTGAGACAATGCTCCATAGATAAGTAAGCGAATGAAGTAACCTCTTTCAAATCTCTCCCGTTGATGGTGATTGACGCTGGATGTTGCTGCTGTTGTTGTTGTTGGCTGGTTGGTTGGTTATTTTCATAACCTCCCTCTTGTCTATGTCCACTTGGAGTCCTGTCTTCGCCGGCTGCTTCTTCGACTAGTTTGCCGGTTTTTGCTTGTAAGTTTTCGATTTCGTGTGACATCAAGCATAAATCATCCACGCGCGAAATCCAGGTCTTCTAGGTTCTTCACGTCGATCCAGGATATCCCTTTCTTCTCGTTTCCCACTGTCTGACGCATAATCCAGTCCACCACAATTAGTAATATCATTGGTGATAATAGGAAGGCACCCTTGTCTGACTCCTGTGTTTACTCTAAACGCCTCGCTGGGTTTTCCGTTGTGGATTACTCGACATGTCCCGTTGTTGTACAGCTGTTGAATAAGGTTGATGAATATTTGGGCGCTGCACGCAGTAGTACTCAAATAGTTTCTGAATTACTTCGCGGTCAACGCTGTCTATCGAAGGCCTTCTCAAAGTCTATAAAGATGAGGTAGAGGTTTGATTGCCATTCCATGCTTTGTTTTGGGATGATGATGCGTAGAGTTGCAATTTGGTCAGTACATGATTTGCCTTTCCTGAATCCAGCTTGTTCTGGTCGGAGTTCTGTATCCAGCGCGTCCTTTATTCTCTCCAGGATGATGCGACTCAGGATTTTACTTGGCGTCGACAGGAGCATGATTCCTCGCCAGTTCTTGCAGTCATACTAATTTATAATTTATAATAATAACATAATGTATAATAAATTATTATAGTAGAAACATGCTTGTTAGTTCTGTAATGCATATACAAATTTATCGCTCATAATGAAGCTACTATTGATTTCTTTATCTTTACTGTTAAAGGGAAATCACCAAAGTCTGATCCATAAATAAACAAAAACTCAAAACGCTACTCAACAGAACTTATCATACAGTCAAGCCCATTTTCATAGAGAAAACGAGATTTATGTTGTCCTATAGACCTTCAGAGTATGCAAACGATAGTATGATACCTGATTACGTTTACCAGTTCACAAGTATGTATGGTTACCGGAACATGGTAAGGGTCTACCGACCTCTCAACGTCAGGACGACGTAATAAATCCCTAAATGAAATGACTGCAAGAATAGATAAAATCACCCGGGAAATAGATGTCTTACATCATCCATCATACAAACTAGTCATAAAGTTCATTTCGTAAAAACGTTCGGGTCACATACTTAACTTCGTACAGATATCTACCGAGAAGTGACCTTCAAAGGGACTCAGTTCAAATTTTGTGATTTTTTTTTGACTATATATTTTGATGACTGATAAAATCCGAATAATTCTGCTGAAGAAGCTGTGGCAGCTTATACAAAGAAACGTTCAGAAAAATCTTGTTTTGGGATTTTTTTTAATTTATGGAAAAATCTCCATGTGAACATTCATAGACAGAAGACCAGTAGTTCAGCGAAGAGTCTCTTTTCGACAGCGAATTCATTTTCAAAGATGTACTATCACAAATATACATGGTTGTTTTGTATGTATTTACATTAAATTTTTTCAAATGGTGGAAAATACCCATTGAAACATTAGATTGAAAAGAACAAGAAGTTCAGCAAAGATATCTGTCTTTTCGGCGATTTCATTCTCAATAGCTGCTGTACAATCCCATTTATATAGATCAGTTTACATGGATACGATTCTTATTTGTTTAATTTTCAACTTGATATGAAAGTTTGAACGTATGAATATAGATTGCAAGGGGCTTAGAGACAAGGTTGCATAGGTTTAGAAAACAGTTACAACATATGCAAAACTAATATTTGATAACTGTAGAAATAATTTTAAAGGCGAGTAAAAAGTGATAATTGTTTTCACCTTGATATGAATTACAAGAGGCTTGGAGACGCAGGGATAGAACGAATTACATGTATGAACAAAATGAGCATGAAAGCAAACTGAAATCAAAATTTTCAACTTTAAATGTAAGTTGGGAGGTATGAATATAGATTACAAGAGGTATAGAAACAAAACAAGCACTGGTTCAATCAGAAGCGCAATAACTGAACATCTCGTCAATACCTGTCACAGAATCTCAACCGACTTATCATTTAGAGTCATTGACAAAGTAGGCAAAAATCTACCAAAGACAGTGTGTTTCCGACTTTTTTGTACTGCGGAAGCCATCGCTATATGCATCGGAAAGCCGGAGCTATGTTTTCAAAAGATACTAATCCAGCCTTTACAACTGCCATGGTCCTAGTTTGGTATGTTCCCTTCAGTTTTTTGTTTTGTTATCTGTGTGTGTAATTTTTTCTCTTTGCCTTCATTCAATTCATCCCTCTTTTTTCAGTTATAAAATCAGTTATTTTAAGTTTATTTCCATGCTCCTCCTGATCACACTTGTAACCCGTTTAGAATAACCACTTTACAATTATAGTCTAATCCTGTGTAATTTTTTGTTTCTATGCCTCTTGTAATTCATATTCCTACCTTCAAACTTTCATATCAAGTTGAAAATTATTATCACCGTTATTATGTGGAAGTAGGCAAATAATAATTGTATCCATGTAAACTAATCTATATAAATGCGATTGTACAGCTTCTGAGGTAGAAATCGCCAAAAAGATCGACATCTTTGGTGAACTTCTTGTTCTTTATATTAAATTTGCCAAAGGAAAATACAGTTGGTAAGTTAAGATGAATTGGATGTTGATATAACCTCGCCTAGATTACTAGCGCGCTAGTTCTCTTGCCGGTCCCAAGTCCGGATAAAGAGGGAGGGTTGGGGCGTGGTGCTAGCAACTCCACCCACAAAACTCAACAAAACCGCTACAGAAACTTCAACGCGTAAATATATTAAAAATTCTAAAAACATAAACAATAGCCTTACTTTTCGCTGGAATCAGGGAAGTGAAATGACTCAGGCTGGTGAAAGCCTTCGGGAAGCCAGTCAACCGATGTGCCTTCTTTCAATGAAAGCAAAAGTACAATGTACGAAACTGGAAAGGCTTCCCAGATAGCCGGTGAAATGAGAAGGTACAGAATAGAAGTGTTGGGAATCTGCGAAAGCAGATGCAACGCAACTGGATGTTGATATAAGAGGGTAGTAACAAAAGTGATGAGTTGTCAAACCACGATTAGTCTAAAAAATTTCTAATGTTTCTTATCTCTTATTTATGACCGTGATCCACAAACATTTCGGCCTACATTGAAAAAATTTTGCTCCTTTATATTCGATTGCCTTTTATATAAATATGTATGGCAAATACATTTGAGATCAGAATGTCCGAAATGTATTACACAAATACAAATTATACATTTTAGATAAATTCGATCTTACTGTTTTGTCGAAATTTTATCTCATACATGAAGATGAAATGTTGGACAATAAATTATGGGACTACGCAAGTCATCAGAAAATTATCACCTAAACGTCTTGAAATCGAACCCCAGTTGGTGCTTACTTTCGAAGATTTCCAAACTAGGACTGAACAACTGTCCAATACTCTCTGGAGGCTTTCCAGTAGTTTTCTAACTGATATCAGCTCGTCATCGATCCTGTAAACAATGAAACCCCTGCAAAATCTGACACTTGAAAATGAACGAAAGAGAAAATTTGTTGTGAGTTAAGCTCATTTAATTACGCATCAAATATATGACACATGGCATTTAATGAATGATGATGTAACACAGAGTATTTTAATTTCAAGTATTCCACTTTCTAAATTTAATGGTTTTCTATTTTAAGTAAATTCTTCGGGGAAAAGATTTGACCAATCACTTCCGGTTAATTCGACCTTGAATAATGTACAAAATTCAATAGTCAAGCGTTGCTTAGTTACCAAATTTAGTCAGCTAAAATTGATTCCAGTCAAAAATTCAATGTTTAGCGACACTAATAACAGCCAAAATAATAATAATAATGGCGATTCAAGTGGACAGAAGCATACAGGTCAAAATATGTTAACAGTAACACACTGAAATTAAATTAAGTCACAAATTAGACTATGCAGAAGAAACCAAAATATAAAATATGGCTATCAGAATTTATTCAGTTATGCAAACACCACTTACCATCAGTATCGGAAGAAGTTAATACAGTTGAAACACTATCAGACAAAGACTATCAGCTTATCGAAGACACTCTAAAGAACATCATAGAAGATATTCAGCAGAAGTAAAACACTTTTTTTTCTAGAATAATTTTTATATTTTTTCCCAAGAATTCAAATATTACACAAAGAAAATAATGAAATGGAAAATATTTTAGTCGATGCTCAAACTATCTCACAAAGTTTTTCGACTAAAGTAAAACCCAGTATTACAGGACAACGATTGTATTACTTAAAATCTCAATATCATGATTTCGGTATAAATGATGCAACCAACTTGAAACAAATGAAACGACTGCGTGATTATTTGTGCAAGACAAAGTTAACCTTGGAGAAATCTTTGCAAGAGGATTATAAGTTGAAATCTGATATTGTATGTTGAACATTTAAAATTTACTCACAATAATTTAAACAACTTATTTTTTTAAAATTATTTCAGGCTACAAGTCAGAAAAATGTCCAGCATTTAATTGAAAAGGTTAATTGTCAAAAGAAAGTTAATAAAGCATTAAAACAGCGTATTGAACGTCTGAAAGTTTGTTTAAATTCTTGGAAATTAGAACAAGAACGACTGCCAGCTAAGTGTATTGGTGAATGTATCTTAGTTGCTTTATATAACCATATTAATTTGGGTAAAAATAAAGTCGGACACGATGATGATCTATCACTGTCATTATCATCTGATCTTTCAACCAAAGGAAATAATTCGCAGAATATTGAAAATGTAACCTCTTCCACTCTTAATACATTTATTAAACTTTAGAATGTTAATTCCCAGCATCAGGAAATGTCATCACCTTCTCTTTCGAAAAGATGTTCAATAACAGTGACTCAATTTACTCAGTTACTTCAAACAGGACGAAATAATGAAGCGTTTTCGCTTACAAGTGAATGTGGGGAAGAGAACTGTGATTTATTAACTCAATTATTTAAAGTATGTGAAAGTAAGTAACCGTTCATATATATATATATACATCCTGGGTTCATGTTAATTTGTTCTTCCCAAGTTTTGTGTAAAGAAACTTGTTTGGCAGATTAATGAAATTTGTGGATCCACATAAGTTCCAGATATTTCATGGTAGACGATCAATCCCGTTTACTGGCAAAGACCACTGAAGTGTTTGAAAGAGAAGTGGCAGGTCTGAACACAAGCTTAAGGTCAGCAGTCTGGTCACTAGGTTTCAATGAAGGAAGGCTAAGAAGCCAAACAGCCAGGAGTGTGACCAAAGCCCAAGTTTAGCAGAGAAAAAGAGAATAATAAACTTAAGGCTGTTCAGAAGTGTATTTAGGTAAATGAAATAATTAGAAATGATAGTTATGTATAATCAAAGAAAAAAATCAACCAAGTCAAATGTCCATAACACTGTACATGGATCTCCAGTAGTAAGGATTAAAAGAGTTGGTTGTGACAGGCTAAGCATCTGCAACTCATTTGGATCTACAAGCTTCTTTTATCCCCATAAACTCGCAGATACAGTCTGGAATCAAAGAAAATAAAATTTTTGCTTATAGTAATTAATTCCCTTTGTGATTTTCGACAAAAAATATGAAATCTTAGTTTACCTAAAACGTATAAGTTGTATTTTTACAACACATTTCGGACGTTCTGATCTCAAACATATTTGTCAAACATATCTGTAGGAAAGGCGACAGAGAGTAAAGGATTACAGTTTTTATGAATATTTGCCAAATTTGGTAGATACAGCGGGATGTGACATCATTCTTCGTGTGGTCTGAGGATGACGATGGATACATAGACTTCACATCCTCAATTATTCGCATTTTAGCTACATAAAATTTTTTAACCATAGTGTTCAATCTTTGTTTAGTTACCAGGTTGCTACGATAAACTAAGTAGAGTAGCCTGATATATACGTCCTTCTTAGCGGTGAGCTGGAGAATGGGTCTTGGTGTTTTGACCACTGCGTATTTCTGTATGAACTCCTTTGGATAATTATTACTGGTTAGAGTTTCCATCTGTTTTCTTTCCTCATCTTCAAGTGTGTCTTCTGTGCTTATTAGTTGAATTCCGCTAAAGATCGATGCATTGATCCATCAGGCCAGATTAAGCGACACATCTGGGAAAGATGACCAATTATCTTTCTGAGCAGCAAAAGGTCAAACACTGGTGCAGAATAACATGAATCCATTTTACTTCATTGGTTCTCATCAGCTGTGGAAAATCTATAATTTTTGTCTACCGATAACCATATTTTAAGAGCGTCATAGTGAAATAAAACATCAAGATAAAAGAGTATCTGAACTTTTATAGTGTATATATACATATATATCTTGTTAGAAAGAAGTTTCTTGAAACATTAATTTTTAGGAGGATGACAAAAGTTAGGAAAAACTACGGAGTTAGCTAAGAGGAGATCAAAATCTGTTGTTCAAGAGGTCAAATAAAAAGACGATGACTTAATACGGTGAGTAGAACTCCTATAATCAAGAAATAATACTTTTTACTCAAGTTAAACGAAGAAAAGGTGGGGCGGAAAGATGAGTTAATGAAAGTGGAAAGCTAAACGTTCCTAAGGGATAAGTTACCAGCGTAGCTAAAGTCCAGTGACACATTCATTTTGAACAAATCGATCTCATTTCAGCAATTTTATTGAGCAATAAATGATTATTTTCATTTATTAATATTCCTTCACGTTCCAAGTGGAATATGCAGCTTCAGCAACATTTCCCCCCTTTCTTCTACTTTATGCTGTCCTCTTCAGTTGTCTAGCTCCAAGATCGACTATAACGTCTCATCTCCTCCCCCACGACACGATCTCTTCCATGTCACCCTCATGCCTACGACTCACTCATCTCTTCCCACTGGAATCTCGCTCAATTCATGCTCTGCATTGAGCACGATGTAAGTCAACCGTCTTCTCAACATATGCCTGATCAATCCATCTCCTACGTATTTGTTGAGCGATCAGCGCTTTGTTGGTTTGTTTACATACAGAGTTTCTTATTACTAATTCATTCTGGCCTGTTTATCTTCAGTACGAAGCTATCTAAGACAGCTATTGATAAAAGTCTGCAACAAGCTGTTGGAAATTCTTTTCGTGACATGCAATACAAGTTTCTGACCCGTATAGAAGCACCGACTGACCGACTTAACATTAGTGCCGATAATCTAAATCTTGTTCTTTTAATGCTGGCTGATTCAATGCAGAAGATTTCCAAACTGATTTCAGGTTGACGAAGGAGTATCTTGCTTATCTGATACCGCCTGACTGGCTCTGACATCTTCATCCATTCCGACTGCCTATGGTTGAAACCATGATTCGTAGCCGGATAAGTGAAGGAGATGACTTCAGTTAAATCTCTGCTATTGGTGGTGATTGATGCTGGTTGTTGTTGTTGTTTCTGTAAGTTAATTATCTTCATCACCCCTGTTTTTTTTTATGTTTACATGTAGTCCTGTCTTCACTGCCTACTTCGTCAGCTGGTTTGTTGGTTTTCACGTGCAAGTCTTCGAGTTTGTATGACATTAGATATATATCATCTGAGAAACCCAAATCTTCCACAGTCCTGTTATCAATCCAACGTTTTCCTGTCTTCTCACTTCCATGAACAGTCTGATGCATAATCCAGTCCACCACAATTAGGAATATCATTGGTGATGACAGGTAGCTAATCCCGTCTTACTTCTATATTCACTTCGAAAGCCTCACTGAATGGTCTGTTGTGGATCACCTGACACGTAGCACACTGTCATATAGCCAACTGTTGAATGAGACTGTTAAAGACTTGAACACTGCACGCCACTGTAGTGTTGAAGCAGTTTTCGAGTTACTTCTCCGTCAACATTGCCCGCCGAAGGCCTCCTCAAAGTCGATGAACGAAGTTAAGATACTGTTTTGACTGCTGTCAAGGAGCTTAACCCAAAGTTTCTATTATTTGCAAAGACGCTCCGAATCGATAATTACTATGACCGAATATCGACCTTAACTCCAAAACATCAGTACTTGCAAAAACTTGTATTGTTTGGCGATTAAAATCGAAATTGATACAAAGTCTATAAACAAATGTTTTGCAAGGAATGTATTCTACTTTTATTCGTATTCCTACGTCTTCTTACAACTTGTGCACGATTGATTCTTTCGCGCCTTCGAGTTGCCCACCAGTAGCGACCAAGACCAACGAACCAACGTTCAATGTTCACCTTCATTTACAAATGCCATTCGATTGTTTGCTTGATGACGATGCGTAGAGTTGCAATTTGATCAGCAAATGATTTGCCTTTGCTGAATCCAGACAACTTGTTCCGGGTGGAGTTCTTGCATTCGGTGCATCTTTTACTCTCTTCAGAATGATGCGACTTAGTATTTTACTTGGCATAGACAAGATCATGATTCCGCGCCAGTTCTTCTGGAGTGAAGCGTAAGTCGCCCTTCTTTAGTAGTTGATAAGGTAGCCAGCCTTTCATCTGACTGGTAAGCAACCTTCTCTTTATCTAGACCATTTTTCAATAATTGCGTGAGTACATCTGCGGCAGTCTCTGGGTCCGTTTTCAGTGCTTGGGGGGGGGCGGGTTAGTGGATTCAGTCTGTCCCTGCTACCCTCCCGGACTTCATTAACTTTGTTGCATTTAGGATTTCTGCTTTTGTTGGAGGATTGGCCTCCACTGGCAGGCAATTCTGCGAGTGCGCAATAAAATGAGGTAGGAAAGAACAGGGATGAGAAAATGAAACTCGGTTCTAAAATTATATTACTAAGATAGGTTCAAAGTAATGATAAATCATTTTTGAACACATAAAATGAGTTTAACTCTTTTCATGTCTAAAGCATCAGCGAATTTAGAATATGTGATTCAAACCTATTTTATAAATACGCATAACTGAATTCATCTCTATAGCTCGTCTCTGTTGGGTGATTTTCTATAGTTGATGTTGGATATTTATTTCCAGGATTAATTATATCAGGTGATGTTATTTATTTTTTCAAACACTTTGGAATGTGTTGTGTAGCTGTAACCTGCAAAGATCATTAGATTCCACCCTTATGTACGTGTGACACTATTGTGCTGGTGCTGTAATAGCTTACAGGATAACAGAAATTTCCATTTCTCAATGGAAAATGAGTTTAGCTGCATAGTGTGTCCTTTTGAGTGTCATTCTTAGTCATTGTTTAGTAATCAGACAACGGTGATCACCCTTCAGCGGTAAATAAATAAACTTGCTGCTAGTCAAACAGAATGTTGGGCTGTTAACTGGTTGCATTCCTATTTCTCAGACAGAAAGCAGTACACCGTATATAAAGGGAATTCTTCCACTTCATTGCCTACTGAAGCTGGTGTCCCTCAAGGTGCTGTTCTTTCTCCTTTTCTTTTTTCTTTCTTCTTGCATGACTTGCCTCACTCTGATGAAATAAACTTTGTGAAGTACGCTGATGATTTAACGGTTTCAATGACTGTTAACTCCCAGCTAGATTGTATCAAAACAAATGCCTTTCTGTCGAGAGTCAGTAAATGGTCTGAGTCTAATGGTCTTAAACTGAATCCTTCTAAGTGTCAAACTGTTGATTTCAGCTTAAGATGTAAACGACAGTTAAAAGAAGTCATTGATTCTCATGACAGTTGTAAAATTGGCGACAATGATATAGGAATCAAATCAGAAATTAAGTATCTTGGACTCATTCTCTCTTCTGATCTCTCCTGGTCTTCCCATGCCTTAGCAATCTCCAGTAAAATATTCCGCCTGACATTTTACATTAAGAAGTTAAGACACTCAGGTATAACTCAACCCCTCATCTTACAGTTTGTAAACTCTTGCATCCTACCTATTCTTCTTTATTGCTCACCCTTATTCTTTCCTGGTTTTCTTAAAAAAGACTATGTCACAATTCGTAGAATGCTGAAGACTGTCAGTAGGGTGAGTGTTGTCCCAGTGGACCACATAGTTAACGTCGTTGTCGATAGGCACTTGACTTCGTGCAATAAATTTGC